TTTTGTTTTGGAAGAAATACCTGGGTTTAGATTAGACTTCTTTCTTAAATTAGGGGAGTTGTTTACATGTTTGAATGTTGTACCTGACCAAAATACCTAATGATTTGGGATCATATCTTGGTCATTTATATCTGCATAACAGTGCCTACCCCAAGTGTTAGGATTATAGTAATTGTTTAATAAATATTTGTTTGGGGAGTGAGGGGGCCACTGAATCAATGAATATTCATTTTGAAAACCGTTATACATGTTATACATATAATTTTCAGAGGTGGAAGAGGGTTAGAAGACAGTTCTCATTTTAAAATACATATCTCAAACAACACCTTTCAGTGAATATTTTTAAAAGTGGATTAGAGATTCCATAGTTATTACCTGGGTGCTTCTGCTTTTTGCTCTTAGCTTTCCTAGGACATTACAATTTACCATATTCATTTCAGCAGCACATCTTTCTTAACCATGTAGGGGGAGTTATTCCTATCAAAATACAGCAACATCTCTACAATCTTGAACCAAGTCTATAGACAACAGCCACCACTGAGCTTCTTCTTGATGTTGCATCTCTCCTTTTGGAAGACCTCTTATTGCTTTAGACCTCTTATTTGTTTAGAAGACAGCATCTTCTAAACTCAGCTGGAGAAAATAACCAGCTCGCAGGTTCCCTGGCCTTTCAATTAGATACTTTCTAATACTTCCATTTCTGTGTGAAGTTGGATCTCTTCTCTGATGATACTTTGCTAGGGTAGTTCTAGAATTTCCACTTCATTTAATTTAGGCCAACATCACTTGCAAACTTCAAGTTCAGTAGCATATTAAGATAGACTACAGGTGGACTTGCCAAAATGTTGAAATCTAACTCACGAAGGAGTGCCATTATAGAAATAGATTTTCTACTATTTGGTTTTATATTCTCTCCTCCCTGATTCAATATCTCAATATGTCAAAATCAATTCTTTGGAATATTCTCCCAGATTGTTACTGGTATTTATTAGCCAGATTCTGTAGTTCATTTGATGAATAATCCATTTTGTCAAGCAACCAAAGATCATCCCTTTCTACTCACATCCTGCCAAACCTTGGCTGTAATTATTTGTCTAGAAGCAATAATGGGAAATGAGAACAGAACTTGAAAGAGGCAAGTAATACCTAAAACATCCTACTTAGATGAGGCTTTTACAGGACAATTACCCATCCTCCACTCTTCAAAAGGACCTAGGGTTTCAAGAGTCAAAGATGTTCCCCCAAATATCTCATCCTGTTTTTTAGTGTCCCTTTCCATTTCTACAAGGTACTCACTTTAGGGGCAGACATTTGTGAGCACTTTGAATTTAGCCTCCTTTACTACTCAGCTTCTCCTGATGAAATCTAAAGACTGATTAACAGCATCATCTGTGCTGTAAATGAAGAAAAGAAGGGTAATTTTGGCTGCTGCTTAAAGGTCTTCAGCTTTCACACTACATCCTAATTGAAGTATTGGTGCTATTGGTGCATCTGAGTACATATATTTTTCTTCCTTCAGAGTTTCTTTTTCTTTTTATATAATTTATTTCTTCTTTGTGTGTGTGTGTGTGTGCATGTGTGCACACTAAGGATCAAACCCAAGGCCTCACACATGCTAGGCAACTGCTCTATCACTAAGCTACATTGCCAGTCTATATTTCTTTTCTAAAATTAACACATAACAATTATACACATATATGGGGTACAATATGATATTTTAATATGTATATATAATGTACACTCATCAAATTTGGGTAATAAGCATTTTCATCTCCTTACCATGTTTGAGTCTTCTTGAATATATTTCTCATGAAATGTATGTTCCTGTGAGCTATAATAGTCTTTCTGTGCTGTGAAATACCACATTTTCTTCCTATCTAACTGTATTTTGGGTCCATTATCTACTATCCCTTTCTTCACCCTGCCTACCTAGCCTCTAGTAATTGCTACTTTACTCTCTCCTTCTTTGAGATTAAATTTTTTAGCTTCCACATATATGAGAAAACAAGTAGCATTTGTCTTTTCACATCTAGCTTATCTTAATTAATATAATGTTCTCTAGATCCATCCATTTTGCTGCAAATAACACAATTTCATTTTTTATGGTTGAATGATATTCCATTGTTTATATATAGTGTTTTCTTTAGCCATTCATCCTACATTGAGTCCACATCTTGCCAATTGTAAATAGTGCTGCAATAAGCATGTGACTTTAGTTTGTTGATTTCATTTTCTTTGGGTATATACCCAGAAATGGGGTGTCTAGTGACAAAAGAGCACTTAACAGTCACTTCTCAGAAGAAGATATACAATCAATCAACAAATATATGAAAAAAATGTTGAACATCTCTGTCAATGAGAGAAATGCAAATCAAAACTACTCTTAAGATTTTATCTCACTCCAGTCAGAATGGCAGCTATTATGAAGACAAATAACAATAAGTGTTGGTGAGGATGTGGGGGGAAAAGGTACACTCATACATTGCTGGTGGGACTGCAAATTGGTGCAGCCAAAATGGAAAGCAGTATGGAGAATCCTTGGAAAACTAGGAATGGAACCACCATTTGACCCAGCTATCCCACTCCTCGGTTTATACCCAAAGGGCTTAAAAACATCATACTAAAGGGACATAGTCACATCAATGTTTATAGCAGCACAATTCACAATAGCTAAATTGTGCAACCAACCTAGATGCCCTTCAGTAGATGAATGGATAAAGAAAATGTGGTATATATACACAATGGAATATTGTTCAGCATTAAAAGAGAATAAAATCATGGCATTTGCAGGTAAATGGAAGGAGTTGGAGAATATAATGCTAAGTGAAATTAGCCAATCCTCAAAAAATAAATGCCAAATGATTTATCTGATTTAAGAATGCTGATTCATAATATGCTGCAGTGGGGTAAGGATGAGAGGATTAAATGATCGCTAGATAGGGCAAAGGGGAAAAGAGAAGGGAGGGTAAGGGAGGGGCTTACAGGTAGGAAAGAAGGTAGAATGCTATGGTCATCATTATCCTAAGTACATGTATGAAGACACGAAAAATGTGACTCTACTTTTGTGTATAACCAGAGATACGAAAAGTTGTGCTATATGTGTAATATAAATTGTAATGCCTTCTGTTGTCATATATAACAAATTAAAATTAAGAACAATACAAAATTTAAAAAATAAAAGATATGAATTTATAAACAACAACAAAAAGAAATGGGATGTCTAGATCATATGATAGTTCTTATTACAGTTTTTTGAAGAACCACCATTCTGTTCTTCACAATGACTGTATTAATTTACATTCCTATCAACAGTGTATAAGAGTTACCTTTTCATTCTCATCAGCATTTGTTGTTTTTTGCTTTTGAGATGCAAAAAAGCATTCTGACTTCACCATTCTGACTAGAGTAAAATGACATTGTAGTTTTGATTTGCATTTCCCTGTTAGCTAATGATGCTGAGCATTTTTTCATATATTTGTTGACTATTTGCATATTTTCTTTTGAGAAGTATCTATTCTTTTGTTTTCTAATTTTTTGAGGGGGGGGGGGGCTTTTTGCTGTTGAACATTTTTAGTATTTATATATACTAGATGTTTTTTTTTTTTTTTCAGAGTAGAAATTAGAAGTTTATTAAAGGACAGCAGAAAAGACTTCTCCCAGAGGAAGAAGGGGACCCAAGAGGTGGAATCCCTATATACTAGATGTTAATCCCTTATCAGATAAATAGTTCACAAATATTTTCTTCCATTCTGTAGGTTGGGTCTTCATGCTAATGATTGTTTCCTTTGCAGTGTATAAGGTTCTCAGTTTAATATCATTCCATTTGTCCATTTTTGGTTTTGGTGCTTGTGCTTTTGAGATCTAATCCAAAATATCACTGCCTATACCAATGTTTTGAAGTATTTCCCTTCTTCCTTTAGAATTTCTATAGCAATTAACAAACTTCACAATATTTTAATCTTTCAAACACAAGAGTAATAGCATTACCACCAAGCAAGATTCTTAACAATTATGGTGCTATAGCTCTACAACATTGTCTGCCAGAAATGGTTCCTTGTTATCTATCACCTGCGTGGTGAACGATTGAATTCTGAAAGCTGATATTAAGGATCTGTTTCCTAGGAAGCTTCCTGTTTCCTCTGTCTTACCTAACTTGGGTTGTGTTCCCTAGGAAGAAGACCCAGAGACAAGGATTTGACTTAATGCCATTTATTTGGAAAATGAATCAAGGTAAAAGAGTAAGGAGATAAGGGATGAAAGGATAGAAAGCCAATTTAAGGGTGAGACATGTGGAAAGATTACCCTTGTGGGAACCAGGGACTTAATTCCACTGAAGACCTCTGAGAGTCCACAGAGCATGCCTCAGAATTGCTCAATTTGAGCAACAAGGAACCTAGAGTATTTATCCCCCAGCATCTGCTATCATTGGCTGAGAGTTGTTCCTGGAGACATTGACTCCCTGGCACTCCTGGCCTAACTTGCGGATTGGCTGCTCCAGGAGCCAGAGAATGTCCAAAGAAGGGTCTTATATAGACTTACATAGGAAGCTATGTTGCTGGTACTTATAGAAACAGTGAATGTCAAGAATATGTAAGGAAAAATATCTGTTACAAAAGACAAGGCTGCTGTGAGTGTATTCCACTGATATGATTATTAGAGGAAAACAATACAAGCTACTTGCAGAATATCAGCACCACAGCATTGTGATAAGCAAGGCAGCACCATAAGTGTTTCAGTTGTTTCTTTTTACGTTGATTGGTCTGACATCTTCTTGATAATTGAGGATATATTTCTGTGATTAACCAAAAATGTATACATACTACTTTTTTTCTTGGCCTAAATACTGATATGAATAGCAGATGTAAATAGAATAGATTCATTCCAATTTCTCATGTCCTTTCTGAAACAAAATTTAGAAATGCATCTTGAGAAGCATGGTTTCACTGCCAAAGGGCAGGGGTGGGGGTTCAAAATACTAAGAAACTTAAAGCACTTTCCAAAAATAGGGAAACAGCATCTTTTATGTTTTATTTTTTGCTTCTGAAAATATATATATAATATATATATTACATGTACAGAAGAGTCCCACAGATTCAGAGAAAGCTAACAGAAAGGCACATAGAGAGTGCAGGTCTTTTCATAAAGTTTTCAGTTAAACCAACATCCAGGGCACGGCAAATGACAATGCAGACAACAAAAGCACAGGAAGCCTGTGTACATGACTCTGAAGAGCTAAATCATAGACAACTCCCAGGTCTGCCAAGAATGGAGGTCATCTCTGGAGAAAATACCATTTCTATTTAATAGGCCTGTCAGACCATCACAGAATGTATTGAAGTCTGAACAAAGACACACCAGGGCAAGCAAACACCAATGCTTAACTTGACAGCTAGTTTGCTCTTATCCCCTTCTCTTTAAGTCCTGAGGCCTTTGCTGATTTAAAGGAGCAAATACCAGGGCTGATTCTGATCCTGCAACATTTTGCTCAGCTACTCAACACAATTTTGTAACAGACTAAATATTTAAAAAGCTTGTAAACACTGTGCTGATGGTGGCGAACAAACATAAAACAAATATTTATTATTTCTCTTTTATAGAAAAGATACAGGCAGAGATCTTTGGCTTGCCACATATGTTTCCCTATCCTGACATTTACCCAAAATGGTAAAAATTAAGGCTCAATTCATGGGATCATGGGGTTATCTTCATCACAGGCCAGCGGAGGAGCCTACTAGGACTTGGCACAGCTGGAGCAGCTGACAGCCTTGGGTGAGGTGAGATGGGGCTTCACCAGGTCCGGCTCTATGGACTCCATTAGATCACACTCATTGGCAAGTATGTGCTTCACCAGGCACCTGGAGGCTTCGTCGATGTTTATATTTTCCTAAGGACAAAAAACAGCTTTTCTTAGTCAACATTCTAAAATGACCTTGAACATTCTAAAATGAAGCAGAGTCCCACATGTGACAAAAGGACAGTTACTTGATGATTCATAAGTATACCCTTTTATATACTACCTATAAATTCTCTTATTTCCCCTCATCTTCATTTATTCCTTCAAAAAAATTTACCTTTTGATCCCTCATAAAAGTACATGTACTTATTTTAATTTGTGACACAGGAGTAGTGTTTGATGGATTCACTTAGCAGGTAGAATTTGTTAGAGGGCAATTTTCCTATTTGCATGTATCTTACATTATAACATAATACTGCAGAAGAAGCACAGGTTTTCAATCCAGCATAGGTTTCTTGTCCTCTGCTATATTCTACTTCTGTGGTCTTGATATGAAATAAAAATAATGGAACATGTTTTGCAGTGGTCATTAGTGGATTAACAAAATTTATGGTTCTCTACTCAGCAAATGGTAGGTGTCCACTACTTCTGACCTCCTTGAAATTAGGCCTGGCTGGCTAACTTTTGCTGATCAGTGAAATGTGAGAGGTGATGAGTCTCACCCTTATATAGCAGCAACAAAAGTGAATGCTCAGTTTCCCATCTTCTTTTCTTTGTCTCAGCAGTCATGGAAACAGAGAGAGGAATTCTCTTGCCTAGGTCTATAGTGAAGGATGGAGCAGAGGCAAATTTCCCCTCAGCCCATGAAGTTATTTGTAGTGTATATGAAAATTATAAATTCATTGTTTCAAACCACTGAGACCTGAAGTTGTCTTTTACTGCGGCATTACCTAGGCAATCCAGATGGATATAACTCTTTACAGGAAAATATAAAATCAGAAATACAAATAGAGTTTCAAGAAATAAACAAGCTTTAATTTAGAGAAAATATGGAGCAAGCATTTGAATCCAAAATATGTTATGTATTTAATTACTTTAGAATAAATTGCTTTGTCTTCCTGCTAGTCAGAAAAGAGAAATACAGAATGTTTGCTACCAGTATGCTAAAATAAAATATCATATCATTTCTCAGGTGAAAAGTAGTAGAGCGAAGATCTCCAGTAAAATTAAATTGTGTTGTTTTTCTCACAATTTTTAGAACTTCTCTGATGTGTTTCCTCATATTCAGTATGAGGAGACAAGCACTTTCTTGTTTCCAAACTGTTTTACTACACTACCTTGCTAACCAATCTGAAATAGAACTACTTACCCTTAATTTTTGTGTGAATGTCTAAACTGTTGATGTATTTTGAGATCACTGCATCAAGTCATGTTACATGGAAAATGCAAGAGGCAGGGATGGCTTCTAAATGCACCCTTGGCTAATGGCATTACCTGTACATGCTAATACTCATTAGCATGCTCCCCTGACTCAAGTCCAATCCTGATTTTACCTGATGTGAAAGCACAAGGTAACCTAGAGGCCCAGGCTGTAGAGTACTTTAATGAAAATGCTTCTGAGAGTTTCTAAATCCAAAACTCAAGATAAAAGTCTTGTTGCCTTTTTGCTTGTGCTAGGTTATTGTTGTGATTTTTGTACCTAAACAGTATAGAGGTGTTTGAGCCTCTGTTTCTTCAACTATAAGATGGTCTGGCTGATAACATTTCCCTAACAAAATTAACCTGCTTCTCTTAACAGGGTGTTGTGTTTATTGATGCCTTCACAGGGGGAAGAAGCTAGGCACTTTATAGTATTTAATCTCATATTAAACACTACTAGATAAAGATTAGATTTTTGTTCTAACTGATTTTGTTGTGATTGTTGGATGGAGGTAAAGGTGGTGTTTCTTCTTTCAACTCAGGTGTCTGACTCATTCCATGAATGGCAGAGACTAGCAGTGCTTGTGCCCTGTCCCCTGCTGAGCAGGCTCCTGTGCTTTAAGTCATTGCCCATGCTTGACACACCTTTTGTCACTCTTTCTCTTCCTACTGTCATGCCCAGAGTTCACACTTGAAGTACCTGCTCCCAAGCAACAATGCGACCTAGACCTGGCATGGCTCTTTGGGACAGACCCAGTTTGACACTTTGCTCCTGAGTCCAACCACTTGTTTATGTGTTTGAGTAGAATCCTTCTCAATGGTCCTCTACTGTCTCACCATCAGGATGGTGGGGATGGGTAGCCTTGCCTCACCATCTAGCCTCAGCCCCATAGGCAAGCAGAAGCCCTATATTGATTGGAAGGACTTTAACATACTTGACCAGCAGTTAATAAATTAAGACTTGGATTTCCATTTGACTATTGCCTGTGTGTTGGGGAAAGATAGAATAAAACTCTACCCCAAATACCAATGATGACATAGCATCATATATGTTTACATATAAGAAAAATTAAGTATAGACAAGAGACTTCCTTACAATCACAAAGCAGGTGGGCTGGTGGTCCAGAACTCACACCCAGGTCCCTCTGACATTAATGTCTTTTTATTGCTAAGCCAAATATCTTTTAAAAATTATTTTTAGAATCATGTACAAAAGGAAATTTTAAAAAACACAACATTTCCCGATGTTAGAACCAATATGTACTAAATAAATTTTAATTCCTTTCCTTTTCATATATTATGATAAAATGTTTAAGTGATGGGGAAAAAAGCTCTAAACATTTAAAAAGGTCTCTTTCACATACAATGTAAATTAGATTTGTCACTAGTATTTTTTTAAGTCTCTGCTCATCTATTAATGTTCCACTTAAATAGGTACATTGCATGTAAATCAGTAAAATCTACTCAGAGCAGAGTTAAATGCTAGCATGGGCAAATAAATAAAAATCCATCATCATTATAAGAAAAACAACAAAAAATCTAAGCCTAGAAGAATCATGTTAGTGAAAGATAAGATGATGCTGGTGAAATTGTTTACACCAAGTAAACGCTATTTGGTGTTAGGACTAGGACATGAAGTCTCTGAGGATGGGGCTTCAGAACAAAGAACAGGCAAAGACAAGTAGTGGGAAGGGTGTGTGTGGAGATGGCAGATACGAATACAGCAGCAGTTTATGGTGAATGAGCCGCATTGATTCTTTTAATTAATACAATTTAGATTTCTGCTAAGTACTACGCACAGAGATAAAGATAATAAAATCGGTCCCATTCCTCACTGAGCGTAGACATGAGCAAGATTTGTATAAGCAACAAAGACATTTTTTTAAAAGAGAGGAAAGGGCATCTCAGGGACAGATCACTGTAAAGCCTTGAATATTCAGTTGGTCAAGTGATGTCACTTAGCTGTTCTTGTAGGTGAAGTGTTGGAAAACACAGTACTACACAAATCCAATATCAGTAGGACTGTACAGATGCTCAGCACTCTGTTTTGACAATTAGTATATTGATAAGCATTTAGTGAACACTTACAATGTTTCCCATTGTGGTAGATGCCACAGTACACCAATTTCAGATTAGGAATTTTAAGAGGACATCATGAAGAAAAGCACATGCTATTATCACCACTATATTTACTGCATGCTTTCTAGAAATAGGCAAGGGGTATAGTTCAGAGCAGAGGCCTGAAGTCAAACCCTCATCTCAATTCCTCTACTTTCTGGCTTGTGTAACCTTGAGAAACTTATTTTGATCACTGCTTGCCTCAGTTTTCTCATCTTTAAAAGGAAAACTTTTAAAATCTACCTCACCAATGATTATGAATCAATTACAAGTAACTACTTAGAATGTGTGAAATACCTACATCAGTGAAGGGCATACAGCACACATTCGATATATATTATATCCATATTCTCCTCATACAACACCTCACTTAGTCAATAATGAGGTGTATTCAACAATAATATGTGTGCTCTTTCTTTCATTTGGCAGCTGAGGAAGTTCAGGTTGAAAGAGAATGAGTGGCTGGCCCCAGGTCACACACTAGTAAGAGGTAGGGCCAGTTGTGAGCTCAGGGAAAGGATTAAATAACAGATTGATCACATGCTTTCTACAAAAATATGAGTAAGATGTGTATCATTTAAAGTACAGGTTAAAGCCAAACCTTCATTTCAGCTTCCCTAAAATACTTACCAAAATAAATAAAGCAACAGAATGAACAGGGATCTTTGTTCCAGCACAAAAAAGTATAAGAGCATACACTCAGGACCTCAGGCGAGGCTGATTTGTATTATTGACACATTTCCAAATATATCTGCTCTCTCTGACTTTCTATACACCATTGAAGTCACAGCCAAAGGGCCCAGACTGGGAGAAGGAATGGCAATACAGAGCAAACCTCTCTCTCCCCTTCTATCCTAATGCTAGCATGGATAATCAAACCCTGCATGATGAAACCACAAGTTCAGATCCTGTGAGCAGTTAGATTGCAGTATGATTGATTAAGCTACTTGGCATCCAGGTTGATATAGCCAGCTCACATTTTCTGGGTGATTGTGTAGAAACAGAGCTGCCAGATTAAGTGTAAAATAATACCTGGGAGTTCTCATTTGCATTTATTATAGAGAGTAGCAACAAAACCCCCAAAAGCATCTTTTGCTAGAAAGGACATTTACACATTCTATAACTTCCAAGTCACGTACACTCAGACTGGATCTGACTGTGATTTATTCACATATCTGCAATATGACAAGATGTTCTATTGTGCTGACTGCTTTAGGTTGATGCATGCTCATGTTTGTGCCACTGCTAAGAATCTTTTCATTTATATCAATAAGTAAGCCTGAGAAACAGGCTTAAAATTACTAACAAAGCATTTTACTAAAAACAAATGATAGTAACTACCAAATTAAGGAAGTACTTTATGAAATAACGTTCACATGTACTCCTCACAAAAATCTATTATAAAGCTGATAGACACATGTTAAAAGTAAAGAAGCAACAAAAAAGTTATATAACTTATTCAGAACAGAGTATGATTTTTGCCAATCTGACATGTCAACCAAGATGGCTCTGTTGACAAATTCCCAGCCTGCTTCTTCCTATACGTTATGTTACAATGTCTCCCATGATTTAAATAGATATCTCAAATAGTTTTATTTCTAAATCAGTGGTTC